AAAATATCGATTTTGGTTTTAGTGTTAACTCTAACAAAAATAACTGTAGACACCTGAAATTTGTACTGAATATTTGTGTAATCATTTACTTTACACCATAGAATTTTCAAAATATTTTGATTTTTGTTAAACTATTTATAGGCATATTAAATTTTTAATTATTTGTTTTCTTTTAAACTCAAGTCAATAAAAAAATTTTCGCTCGATCAAAAACTCGTAACTGTAATGCAAGGTTCCTTGTACTTTGTTATTAATGAAAATTAAAAATCCACAGTAATTTTTTATGAGCGTTTAAACTTAGAATTTTGACAAAATCCGTTAAAATTCACAAAAGTTAGCAGTTTATATTTAATTTGAAATTCTTAAAAAATTTTCTAATTATATCTAAGATATAAAAATTTAATACAAGATTCCTTACAAGTTTGTCTACTTTTATCAAAAAAAAAAATGTCTACCAGAAAGTCAAATGAAAGACTTGTTTTAAGCTGTTGACAGACATTTTCAATTTTCATTTTTTATTTTATAAATGTCAATAAAATTTTATTGGTTGGGTCAAAAAGCATAAAAATTTAATATAAGACTCTTGATTACTTGTTACAAAGCAATTGAAAAATATTAAAAACACATCAATAGGATTTTTTTTATAAGCATTGGAAGTTCAAATTTTGACAATATTTATCAAATTGAAAATTGAAAATGATTTTGTAGTTAAAAATTTATGAAATGTTCAAAAATTTAAAATTTAAAATGAGGTTTCACTTATGCAATTTTTCTATAAATAAATGAAAATCTAAAAAATATATAAATACGGTTATTTTTCACAGACATTTTAAGTTCAAATTTGGATAAGATTGTGCATGTTATCACAAAGAATAACATTGTTTACCATTTTGTTGTAATTCGGTTCCAAAACAGCTCAATTTCACATAATTATATTTAATATTTTTCCAACATCACTGATAATTTAAGAATAATATTAATTGAACTTACCGGCTACCATATTAAAAAAAAAGTAATAACAATTTAAAATATCCTAGACTGACATACCTTCTCCGCTTAGATTCGTTTTTTGTATACAATGACATGATATCATTGAATTCAAATTTAATACCATCCATTACAGCCAGCGACCTCCTAAACACCTGATGTACAGCAGAGCGACATCCACTTACTCTCTTTTTTATCTTTTGTATTTAGAATTACTAACTTAAATATGTTAGAATTAATTGTCTCTTAATACCAAAAAGTATTTTGCTTTATTTAAAATTTATTGTACAATAATTAATTGTAAAAATAAGAAAGTCAGTAATTTCTACATGTTTCATTGCAGATATAATTTGATGCAAAAATGTTGGCATGTTGATCCAGAAAAACGACCAAGGTTTGAATACTGTTTGAAAGTATTAAAATCATACATGGCTATGCCACTGGATTACGTTAATGTTTCCCATGATCGTATGTAAAGTTACTATATTTTATTAATATTTTTAAATAGTAATGATATAACTTAAATAATTTATGATTTAGCGCAACTGCACAATGTATCACTACTATCGGAGAAATACACAATAGACCTTATTACATGTATCGATTCACAACAGAAATTGTCTCCCATAAGTAATTATGATGGATATGAAATACCAATTAAAATAATTAACAATGAATACCTGGAACTGTGTAATGATAAATGCGAGTACTTAGATTTATCATCAACACCAACAGTTAATATGGTTGATAATCGAGATTCAGAACCAGAATCAATTTCGGAAGATAATTTGTATTGTAACATGAACCCAGAACTTATTGGATGAATTGACAATTTCTCACATGGCTGAATCAAAGGCAAAAAGACTTAAATTAGTTGTATATTATTTTATAGATCTATATAGAATTTTGTAAATGGGTTATATAGTTATTACCCTTAATTAATAATTTTGGTAAATATTGAGTCAAATCATTATTTATGTTGAAATTTATATTTTTCTACTAGTTGTTTATATTTTGTTGAATTATTTTCTAAGTTAATCTGATTATTGGCATAACTTGAAGCCAATTACAATTACTGTTGAATGATACTGTAAGTGTGTTATATAATAATTATTATAGTAATTTATTGTACAAAATGTTTATTTCCAAAGTAAAATGAAACATTTGAAAGTGTATCACTTTCTGATGCTCAAATTGTATGAAGTACCAAGTTCCTAAATAAGATACTGTTTATGTTATATAAAAGTAAGTTAAGTGTAAATTCATGTAATATATTATGTTTTTATTAATTTTTTCTTTTTTATTTATCAGGAGATTTTTGAATTAATATTATTTAATGATAACAAAGGAATTGGGTTCTGCTTTGTTAAAAATAGGTCAAACATTGATGATTAGATGCAATTAGATATAATGAATGTGTCCCATTTGGTCAAAAAATGTATCATTCATTTGATTCTTATTTATTTTTTCTATATTTATTGAATTAAACATTTAAGTTTGTGATGGGAGTGATAAATGTATTGATTTTACAATGATGGGTGTTCTTTTTTAAATATTATAATCTTTTGTGCCTGCGAACACAATGATTATCAAAATAATGCTTTGATTTTAGACTTTAGCTTCTCTTCTGGTAGGAGAGCATATCTAGTTGGTACATTTGGGAGATCAAAATTTATAATTCTCAGCAGTTTTCAAAAGAAAAAGAAAAACAGGAATTTTTGATCAACATTGGTTTCAATTTTATTTTTTCGGTAGGTAACTAACACAAATGACCAAATACATGAACATTTCACTGAATTCTTTTATTAGCATTTTGTATACACCATTGAAACGTCAAAATAATTTGACTTACGTTGAGCTATTGATAGGCTCTGAAATTTTCGATTTTAATACCATTTTTAAAAATTAAAGTCAATAAAAAAATGTTGGCTCAGTCGGAAAACTTGAAATTGTAATACAAGATGCCCTGTAAGTTGTTGGTGGAAATTAATGAAAAAGTTGAGCTGTCTGCAATACTTTTTATGAGAGTCTGATTTTCAAATTTCAACAAAATATGTAAAAATCACGAAAATTTTCAAATTATTTTAAGTTAGAAATTCATAAAAAAAATTATTTT